AGCAAATATTAGTATTATATATATTACAAAATTTAGTAGTATTCTATATATATATATTATAGTATTATATATATTATATTATTATTAGGTTTTATTAATTATAAATTATATTTTTATTATATATATTTTAATAATATAATTAAAATTATATTAGTTAAAATATATTAATCAATAAACCATTTATTTTCTTTCATTATTTTATCGAATACCAAAACGATAACTATTTAAATATTACATTATTATTATTATTATTATTATTATATATTATATATATTAAATTATTATATTATTATATATTTATCAAACGATCATTACAATCTCGACAGGTTTCTTTTATGCTTCTTACAACAACAACAAAATAATAAGTATAAAAATTACAATCATCATTTATATTTAATGAGAAAGATTTCAAGAGAAAAGGTTTTGTTTTATACTTATGATTAAATTAAATACAAATTTTTCGAGTGGCATTTATTTGATCATTTTCTATAATATCATTTAAAAAAAAAAATATATATATATATATATAAAAAAGGATCAAAGTTGGATAAACGATAAAATCACTTGAAAATGAAGTAAACATGAACAAATGGGCAAACCTTCCTTCGTGAGTTTAAAACTCACTACTCTCTTCTTTGATACTCGAGCATAGGTGAATCAACCTTTAAAGAGCATCCCGTGGTTTCGTAAAATGTGAAAACGTTAAAGGAGGATGAGGAGGTGTAAAATAAGATTAACAAGAAGAAGAATAATCATAATAATAAAAAGAAAAATAATAAGAAGAAGAAGAACCTACCACATGGCTCACTTTATTCAGTATTTTACGTTCTTTCATTTCTTTATCCCACCTCCTCCTCCTCCTCCTTCACCTCCTCCTCCTCCTTCTTCACCTTCTTCTTCTCCTCCTCTTTCTCGTCCTCAATCATTTTTCTACTCCTCTCGCAATCTGTCTGGTGAAACGTCTTCTTCTTCTTTTTCTTCTCTTATTTTTTTGTTTGTTTTTTATTTTCACTCTTTCTCCTTCTCTCTCTCTCTCTTACTCATTCTTACTTTCTCCCTTTTTCTCTCTTTCTATCAAACATTTTTGTGAAATAGGATTTTGCTAAGTAGTAGTAGTAATAGTAGTAGTAGTAGGTACACATTACGAAAGAAATTAGAATCGTTCGTGTGTTTTTCATATTCCCACACTAAGAACTCAATGATTCCTACTTCATTCAACGTTTCACTTCAAATTTACATACTTTATGCAAACAAAATGAATCGAAGTAGTAGTAATAGGAGGAGGAGGAAGAGGAGGTGGTGTCCTACTGATGAAATTATTAGAAAATAAAAATTCTAAATTCTAATGAAATTGATCCCACCCAGAGCCTTAAGATAAAACAAAACCGGTTTTATAATTCTGAAGAAACTCAAATGACATTTTAGCAATGTTTCAAATACAATAAAATTAAAATAAAAAATATTAAAAGAAAAAGTGGAAACAAATTTCACTGTTAAAAAAAAAAAAAAGAAAAAAAAATGCCAAATTTTATTTGATAAAATTACAAAATATTTTGGTGTATCCGATTTATTCATAAATTGGTAAATTAATAGAAGAAAAATTATTTTTCAAAAATAGGAAAGTAATAATTGCATAAAAAAAATATATTAAAATAAAAAATGGAAACAAATTTCACTGTTAAACAAAAACAAAAAAAAATGCCACAATTTATTTTATAAAAGTAGAAAATGTTATTTTACGTTCGATTTATACGTTAGAAAATTAATCAAACAAAATCATTATAATAATATGAGTAATAATTGTAAAAAAAAAAACAAAAAAAAAGTAGAAATAAAAAAGAAAATAGAGCATTTTGTAAAATTATAAAATATTTTTGCGTTCGATTTATAAATTGGAAAATATAATAAAATAAAATATCACATATCAATGATATGAGTAATAATTGTAAAAAAAAAAAAATAAAATAAAATAAAAGAAAAATAAAAGAAAATAGAGCAGAGCGAATTTGTAGAAAGTTAACTATCGTTATTATTATTATTATTATTATTATTATTATTATTATTATTATTATTATTATTATTATTATTATTATTATTATTATTATTTGTATTTTTATTATTATTCTTATTATTATTATTATTGTCATAATAATTATTACTATAAACTCTTGTTATTACGATTGTCATACTAATACATACAAAGTACATAGACTTTAAGGAAATTTTCAAAGCGAATCGACGTATATACATATATACATAAATACATACATACATACATACATACGTGTAAAGCTAATATACATATTTTCTATAGATATACATATATATATGTATATCTTTATTAACGTTATCGAATCCTCTGTAATACACACTTAACTTACTATGTATTATGATTAGCATATTGTTCTTCTGCGATCACGACAAGAACGACATTTTTATGAACGAGGAACGAGATTATAACGAAAACTCGGTTTAATTTTATTCGAGAACTCTATTACTATTATTATAAATAATAATAATAAATAATAATTATATAAATATTAATATTCCTTGCAGACTTGGCGTCACCTAGACAGTCAAACACGCCTTTTGTCAATTCTTCATATACTATTACAGATTATTACACACACACACATATATATATACACATATGTATGTCAATAATGCATATAGTATATATGTATGTATATCAAAATTTCATTACGAACTAAGAAAAAATGAACGAAACAATAAAAACAACTAAAACGAATGAAAATAAAGAAGATATCAAAGAAGAAAATGAAGAAAACGATTGAAAATAGAAAAAAAAAAACGTTAAAATGCAAGAGAAAGAAAGTAAACAAATTGGAAAAGAGATAAAGTTAGAAGATATGGAAATAAATATTAATTTAAAATAACGTATAGATATATTTTCAAGACCCTTGGAATCCGTAAGAATAATCATTTTTTAAATGAACATGAAGAAATAAAGAGAAAGAAAAAAAGAGAGAGAAAGAAAAGATGATTTGTTATTACATTTAATCGTATAACCTAATAAACAATGTTTAACTGCATTTGTTTCAAAATAAAAAAAAAGAGTAAAAACGAGAGAAAATTTGATAATAAGAGGATAATGAAAAAAAAGGAAGAGGGAGAAATAAGTAATGGCGGATGATATTGTCAATGTTAAGTTCATTCATTCAAAATTTTACACTCTTTGCTTATATACAAATATATATAAATATATAAATAATTTATTGTTACTATTATTATTATTGTACGTTATTATTATTATATACATATGAAATAGAGTTAACATAAAAAGCGTGTATATATATATAAAAGTTATTTATTATGAAAGTTGATGTGTAGGAATGGGAGGATGTGGTAATATGACAATGTGTTAAAAAAATGGGACCTCGATAATATTTTATAGTTAAATGTATCCTATATTTGGGATATAAATTAACTCTCAAAGATAAAGATAGAAAAAAAAAGAACGAATAAAAAAAGAGAGAAATAAACGAAAGATACATATGAATGATAAATACATAAAAAAGCGAAAAACAAAACGAACTGATAGTGCCGAACTCGAAGCTGAAGATAGTCTATAATTAAAACTATAAATTATCATTATATTTATTTATTATTACTATAATTATTTTTATTATTATTATTATTATTATTATTATTATTATCATTATTACTATTATTATTATCATTATTACTATTATTATTATCAAAATAACTCGTTGAATTATACATTTCTCAGTGTCTATGATAAAAGAAGAAGGAATAAAAATAAATAAAGAAAAAAAGAAAATATAACAATTAATGTATTATTATAATTATAATAATAAAATTATTATTATTATTAACAAAAAAAAATATATAAATATATATAAAAAAGAAGAAGAAGAAGAAGAAAGATTAAACAGAAGAACAAGGACGAAAAAATAAAGAATATGAAAGATTGTGATAGGAAAGAAAGATGAAGAGAAGGATTAAAAAAAAAGATATGGAAAAGGATATTTTTAAGAAGAACGGCAACCTTTATTCATGGTGTTTCATTTCTAAGAAAACCGTCTCTCTTTAATCCCCGACAAAAAAAATTAAAACATACATATTGTAAATATTTATTTATGGGCGAAAAAAATTTAATATCCTATAAAAAGGAAAAAGAAAAGAAAAGAAAAGAAAAAAAAAGTATTCAACATAATTACATAAATATATCGTATCGTAAAGAAATTTCTCTCTTATAATTAAATAGGTGAAAAATCATAATCGCTATCACGTTTATAACACGAAGACTTAATCAAATAATAAATCTTCTTTATCGACTTAACATGTTCGGCTCATCGATATTGGATTGGTAACGATTCTCGTGATCTATTGGATTCTTACCAATCCTACGAATTAGTATGAGAGAATGAAGAGAGAGAGAGAGAGGGACAAATTTTGCGAATAAAAATATAATTTGCAAAGAAAATTAAGAAGATTATTTAGAAGGAATGAATTTTTTATTACTCGAATAATCGATAGTAGTAATCAATCATTTTATCGATCAATCCAGTATTGATAAATGTTAACGAGAAGGAGGAAAAGGATCAAATTCAAATTTTGGTAGTTTCAAAAGAACGAATTTATTTTTAGTTAATCCAATTCATTCAAAAATGGCGCTTCCTAAATAACGAAAGAAAAATAGAGACAAAAGTAGAACAAACATCACGTTGTCTTTGAAAATCATACTCTCTGTCTCTCTCGGTAACACATCCGTATTCTTTCGATTCGACAAAAATGTGTAAAAATATAAATATTTAAATAATATCTTCTAATGCAGCAGCAACAACAATAGGAGCGGCAGCAGCAGCAACGATTTCGTTCATTTCGTTTTTTCTTACTCTCTCTTTCTCTTTCTCTTTCTATTTTCTTATTTCTATCTTTTTTACTCCAATTACATCTCGAACTATTTGTACCAGTATCTCTATCACTCTTCTCTCTCTCTCCCTCTCTTTCTCTTTCTCTTTCTCTTTTTCTTTCTCTTTTCTTATTTCTATCTTTTCCATATTTCGTTTTTTATTTTAACTCTTCTCAATTTTTCAATTTTTCGATAAATCTATGTACGAGCACGAAAGTAATAAAGAAGGCTTTGAGAATAAGAATAAAAAAAATAAAATGAATGGATATATATATATAAAGAATGTTAAAAATTATTACGAACAAATTGATCTTCTTAATTGATTTCTCTCTTTGTTCGAAAGTAAAAAATAATTTCTGAAAGAATACGGCCGATGATAAAAGTAAGAAGAAAAGAATGAAAGAAGGAATAATATAAATAAACAATTAATTAGTTAAATAATTAAATAAAGGAAATGTGTGGGAAGGCTATTACGAACCATCCACAATTTCTTAAAAGAAAACCAAAAATGAGGAAAAGAAATTAAAAACAGAAATCCGCACGATCTTCGTCGGCAAAATGAACGTTTACGTGTAGAAATACTGTAACACTTTAAATATTATTATTATTATTATTATTAATATTATTATTTATACATGAATAAATAAAGTAAAAAGTAGGCCGATTTTTTTGTTAAACCAAAGAAAGAAAGAAAAATACTCGTTATCGATATAATTATAAAAACAAAATTGAATAAAGTGAAAGAGAGAGCGAGAAAGAAGAAAAGAAGAGAATAATGGAAGAGATTTTTATTATTTTTCTTTCTCTCTCTGTCTGTCTCTCTCTCTCTCTCTCTCTCTCTCTCTCTCTCTCTCTCTTTTTTATTATATATTTTTTTTTATTTTTATTTTAAATTTCGACAAATATTGTTTTGTAAATTTTGAACACACGCTCATCCGAATAAGAGAGAAAGTTAAAAGATAAATCAACGAAATTGTTCGAGAACATAAAACGAAAGATAGAGAGAGTGTCTCTGTGTGCGTGTGAGAAAGAAAATGAGAGATGAAAAGTATGATCTCTTTATTATTATTCTTCATAAAAAAGCAAAAAATAACCTTTACTTGTTTGATGTTTACCTTAAGTGATCTAAGTACGAGCGACACGCAACACATTGCTTTTTTCTTTTTGCTATTTCTACCTCTTATTGATTATAAATATCAATAAACGAATTTTTATCTAACAAAAAAAAATTAAAAAAAGGAAAATAAAACAAAATATGATACGTCCGACAAAATGTGTTCGTCTCCAAAAAAAATTAATCTCGCACTAATAAATAAAAGTCTATAATTTTTTCTCGATGGTGAGACAACATTTTCGAGACATTTTAAAATAATTGTTCTTGTGTAATCATTCGTTGAAACGAATTAATTCATTAATTAATCAACAAGACGAGTATTTTGCTTAATTATTACTCGTATACTCTCATATTATTACTATTAACTATTAACAGTTATATTATATTTCTCCTTATTAGAGAATATTTTAATCATTGATATATATATATATATTATACAGGATGTTCCAGCTTTTCCTGTAAAAATTTTACCTACATATTTTATAAGTAAAAATAAGTAAAAGGAAATATTATATAAGCATGAACTTTTAAAAGCTTTATTCAAAAATTATAATAAGAATAGGAAATAACAGAAGAGTACTTTCTTATTCAATACCACGTAAAAATATATTGTTGATTTTCATTATAATTACATTTAAAAATATTATCCGTTATTATGCAAGACTGAAGTCTATGGAAAATAGAATCTATTTTTCATTATTAATTTCTTCTACATTTTCCTTAATTTGCAAATAATACGACACCAATTTCAATGATATTGCATTACTTTGTGTTTAATTAATTTTTTCTTTCGATGAAATATTGGAATCCATTACTATTTCGTATTTTTATTATAACTTTTTAATAAGATATTTACAAGAGTATATATTTATATAACATCATTTTATTTGTTTATTTATAAAATGTGGTGTGGTAAAATCTTGTGCAAAAAAAATAACAAACTGAGGTAACCTGTTAACATTAATATATTAATATCTATATATTTGTTAAATATATACGTACGTAACGTTGCTTTTTAACTGATACAACTTTTCCTCAGATTTTGAGACTTTAACAAATGATACCTTTACATCGTTGTATATACGAAAGAATTTTTTATCTTTAACAAATAAAAGAAAACAAAAGTAAAATAAAATAAAATAAAATACGATCAAGATGATTAGAATAAATGAAGAAAAGGGGGAGAAAGTTGAAATAGAATTTTTTTATCTTCTTTTTTTTCGTAGTAAATTGTTTTGGTCCAACGCGTGAACGCATAGAATTTCTATACATTTATAACATTTTCGAGATTTATTATACCAGTAAAACCCTACGTGTGTTCGTGTTTCGTAATTGTTAGAATTTTTTTATTTATAATATATTTTATAGCGGAGATTCTTCATTGCGCGCGAATCGCGTTAAATGTTAAAATATAAAAAGGTAGTTTAAAAATATGTTTGAAAATATTCAAATCTCGTTCTCGGACGAATAATTCAAATTAAGATTAATCAAATTAAGAAAGTTCACACGAGAATCGTTATTTAATTTTATAACAGTTTTTAAATCTATATAAAAATTAATTTTTCATTAATTTATTGATCAATCTATTCTTTCGACAACAATGATTACACTTTCCAGTGGGTCATCGAAAATGGGTCTTCTCAATTCCCATCAAAGTTTGGGATATCCTGTTCTATGAGAACAGCATTTATAAATTTTGCATATATGCATATACATATACATAATCGTTCAGTATTGGATTTAACGCAAACGAAAAATTATTAGAAAACCAAAAAAAAAAAAATATATATATCTATATATATATATATATATATATATATATATATATATATAATAATATTAATTACAATAATAAATTAATTACAATAATATTGTAATATTAATTACCATAATATAATACATATAATAAATAAAGTTTTTTTATATAACAAATTATATAAATATGTAATACACCTATTACAATTTTTTTTTGGTACCATTCAACAATTATAACAATTTACTCTATAAATATAATATTTTTTGACTATTTAAATTTAAAATCATTTATATACGATTATTATTACATATCTCATTCTACATAAGTAAACTAAAACACATTTATAAAATTCCATAAATAATTTCAATTAAAAACGATTACGAGAAAAATAAAAAGAAAATCATTTTCAATTGATATTCAATTGATGAAAAGAATAAAAAAGTAAAGTGAAATTTTGTTGTGCATAAAATACGTGTAATATATGTATAAAAGAAAAAAGAACTATATAAATATTACATAAATATTATTACGTGGGTGTGTATAAACATTTGTTAAAACTTGCAGGTACATTCTACCAGAGATGCGGGTAAAACGTTTTAACGTTTGCCGTCCAATAAAATCGCTTCGATAACTAACGCGAATTAGCAAACATATGTCTGCTAACGATTCACCGAGGCCTTTGACCTTTGTACTTTGCTGTAAACTCGCGAATTATATTACGATGTTGTTAAAATCCTTTATATATAATACATATATATGTATGTATGCATGTATGTATGTAAAAAAATAATCTACAAAATTATATACAGTTGTGCATATACGTCAATATCGTTTACACAAATCTTACCAAAACTGTTATATTATACCACATACATATATATGTATATATATATATATACCATATAGATTTTAATGGTAGAACATGGGTTTCGTGTTACTAACGATGTTAATACGTATCGATTACGATATTAATTAATACGTGAATGATAATATTGATGAATAAGAATTGTGTTTACCCTTTATATAATATATTTTAAATATACTTATATAATAATTATTAATATATATATAGATTGTGTGTAAATATATTTAAAATATATTTTTAATAATTATTATACATATTAAATATAATTTAATTTGTTAAATTTTCAATATATAATAATAATTTAAATTTAATATAATAATAAATTAAATTTTGTAAATATATTTTTATAGTAATAATAATTAATATATTTAGGGTAAATATTTTTATAATAATATTTCAATTAAATTATTTATTTTATCTAATTAAATTTTATTTAAAATATATTACATAAAGATACATTATAAATATTTTAATAATAATATTTTCAATATTTTAATATAATAATAATATTTTCACAATAAATACTGAATGGTGATTTGTCTCACTGAGCCATGCGAACTTGTTTGAAAAAAATTAGATCGCTGACCGGGGGGGACTCGAACCACGGATCCTTTCGCTGTCCCGGGTTAATCGAACCGATTATCTCCCGCTTTAACCAATTGAGCTATCCAGAGCTCATTAATATTTTCAATATTTTAATATAATAATATTTTATAATAATATTTTATAATAATATTTTAATATTTTAATAATAATATATTTTAAATATATATATACTATATTTTACCTGTGTATTAAATATTGTCAACAAAAAGTAAAAACAAATGATTGGGTTTGATAAAAAAAAAAGCTTGTAATTTGCCTAAAGGTATTGTAATAATATTCCTTCTTTTATATATATATATATTTTTTTTAACATTCACGAAATATCAAATTCCATATTTTTATAAATATCAACCGTTAACCGTGCGATAAAATTTTTTTTTTTTTTTTTTTTTNTGTTCTATGAGAACAGCATTTATAAATTTTGCATATATGCATATACATATACATAATCGTTCAGTATTGGATTTAACGCAAACGAAAAATTATTATATATCTATATATATATATATATATATATATATATATAAAATAATATTTGTTGTAGATAGAAAAATAAGGAGTATATCGCGTGGCTGCCCTTTTTAAAAATGTCTTCCCTTTTGAACCTTTTTTTCCGAGAGGAAGATTTTAAATATCATTTATAATATACATATATATATATATATATATATATATATATATATATATATATATATATGTGTGTATATTAGTAGAACCCACCTCAGGAGTAATATGAAACACCCGTACATAGTAAATAGTAACGTTTACGTACGAGAGATGAAAGATATAGATTTAAAAAGAACAAGTAAAAAACAAAAGAAAAAATAATAATTAATAATTCTTTTAATGGTGATGATATCTCGCTACACCAATCGAACCAATACATTTTTGTTCTGTAATACCTAATAACAACATATATCAAACAAATACGAGATAAAAAAGAAAGGTGGACAAAATATATAAGAAAGGAAGAAACAAAGAATTAAAAATGAAAATAATTTGTAAATCAGCAAAAATGAAATGAATAAAAGCGCGTTCGTTTACGCCACGAGGATCGCACGGAATACAAAAAATTGATTGAAATTGTATGATAAATTATGATTTAAAAAACGTGTCTACGATTAAGCTTAATATTATTATTATTATTATGATTATTATTATTACTATTATTATTATTATTACTACTATGATTGTTAATTATTAATTAATAATTATTATTATTATCATCGTGTCATTATTAACGGGTATGATAAGGGGAAAAAATCGAGAGAAAAAAAAGCAAAATAATAACCCGTAAAAGCCTTTCTCTTTAGAATTATGAGCTACTTTACCTACTAACGAGCATGTTTTTTGAGAAGCGTAATGAGATGACATTAAAATATTGATAAAATAAAAAGTGAATGAATAATAAAGAAAGAATTTCTATATAAAAATTGCATGATCGAGAAGAGGAGCGGGAAGGAGAAGAAAGGAAGAGGAAAATAACGATGACTAATGTTCGACGACTTTCTGTATATTCGATTTTTCCTAGTACACGTATTACACGCATAAATATACACCAACATAAATCTACATACATACCTATCCTTAAAAAATACATACCCTTTCTTAATACATACATCCATACCATTTTCGATGACGTATCTCGCTTTGCGTAAGTAAGAAGTAAAATTACGTACGACACAATAAGTACGGGTTTTTAAATATAAGAATGTGTTTTAAATTAAATAAGGGAAAAGAAATAAGAGGATAAACACGTGTTGGGAGAAAAACTTAAAAAGACAGAAAATGTAGAAAAAGAATAAAAAAAAAAAAGAAAAAAAAAGAACGAAGAAGAAGAAGAGAGAAATAATTTAAGAATAGGAGACAAAAATTGTCTATCTCTTTTTTGAATTCTACTCGAAGCTTGAATAATTAAAAAAAAATAAATAAATAAAATAAAGAAGTAAAGAAAAGTAAAAAAAAAAAAGAACAAAAAAAATATCAAGAGATTAAGTAACTAACTTCACTTGAACTCTCGTGTCTTTTATTCTACAAATTTCTAATTTATCTTTCTCTTTTCCGCGCACACTGTGACTAACAAACACAACACCACAGACAAATAAGTAACACTCACATCAGAGACACACCGTACACAGGTATATACACATGTATACATTACCTACGTATGTACATACATATTTTATGTATATATACATAGAGGCATGCGGAGACGTGTATATACGTAATAGGATATACACGGCACAACTTCCCTCTCTTTTTTCACTGTCTTTATCTTTATCGAGTAATACTTTAAGTCTCCGCTAAATTAAAAAAATAAATCCGTTAAAAAAAATATATATATAATATATATAAAGGTAATTAATGGAAAATGATAACAAAATCATCAATGCCGAGTAAGCAAGAAAGAAACAAAAAAAGATAAAGTAAATAAGTAAATGATAACGTCTTCTTTACTCGAGGGGAAAAAAGAAATATATTTAAAAAAGAGGGATGAGAATATAATATTGTACTGTTTATCTAACGTTTACACACATTTTTTCTCGTACCATTTCGCGACGAACTATAAAAGAAAAAAAAGGGGGAAAAAAATAATGAAAAAAAGAATTAAAAAAAAATAAGTAAATAAATAAATTAATGAAAACACACACAAAAAATAAAGCGAACGTTTAAAAGAAATCATAGCGCTCTCTTGCGCATTTTCTTACGAAGAATTAAGATATAGGCAGGATGCAATAAGTATGCGAATAAAGTGTCTCGATGAGAAAAAGGGAGCAGTTTTTTTTCTTATTCATGAATTATCCGTTGGTTTAATTGCGTATTCACAAATTGACAACATTGTCCGATATTCTCTTTTCCTCTCCTTTAAAAATTATATATATATATATATATATATATGTATAAATACATATGTATCGTATATCCCCTATTATCAATTTTATTTTATATTTTGTTTAATTTCTTAAAATTTGTTTATTTTTTGTTTTAATTTGCTAGGAGAGTGGAGAAAGTTAAAATAAGAATTCAATTAAAAAATAATCAATTATACTTTTATTTCTCTCCTTCTCCTACTTTATTTCTTTTTTCTCTCCGTAATGTTATAACTCTATTAAATTGTAAATTATGTTCTAATCCTTCACCGAAAATATCATTTTTTAAAGACAAGTATAGTAAAAAGTAATAATAAAGCAATAATTTACAATAACCAATAATTTTTACAAAAAAACTAAAACATAGCTTTCTATTGTACTATTGTCAGCATGTTTCTTAGTCGGTAAGATAAATCTCTACCATTACCGATTGAATTATTATCCGAAGAAACAGTAACTCACTATTATCAAAGAATAATATAAAACATCAAAAATCCATTTTTTGTATGAAAAGCTCATCTTAGTTAGTACCGGGAACACTAGTGGGCGATAGTAGTTAGAATACTGTAGGGATCCTGTAGGAGGGATGCGCCAACAGTATTCAGCTCATGTGCCATTGGCTGAAAAGTTTGGGGGACCGCTTGAATTTATAATAATTTTTTCGTGTAATCTATTCTATTTTAATATAAATTTTTAATTATCATTAAATATAGTTCATTTTTTTCTGTATTTGATGCAATTCATTATTTTATAATTATTTCAATGTTTGAATTATTCGCACGCAAAATCGAGTTCCGGTCCCCCAGCAATGTACATGGCGCATCCCTCCTATAGGATCCCTAGAATACTGTATTCTTTAATAGTATTGTACCTTTCTTTGATAGTTTGTACGTACCGTTCTTTGATAGTATCGTACTGTCATAGTGTTAAGTATTACTATCGCCCGTTGGTGGTCTCAGTGCTAACTAAGATGAATCTGGTTATATAAAAAATGGGACTTGTGAGCCTCTATGTACTTTTGTATTCTTTGTTTATTATTAATTTATCGACCTTATCGGTAATATCAAAATCTACTATCTTGAACAATTGTCGGTAAGACAGAATTCTTTTTAATAACGGATATTTACTAATGCGGTTCTTCTTATTATATTTAAAATTTTATTGACTATGATTTTCTATTTATCTTGATAATAAATTTTAATGCATATATCGTTTCTTTTATATCATACCATAATAATTTACTACTATTTCTATTAAAAAAAAAAAAAATATAAATAAGGACCTATTATTTTAATATTCGATTAATCATTATTCAAGATAACAATGTCAGAAAAAAAATATTTTCAATATCATTTGAGTTAAATATATGCATGTATTTAATTATCTTCTTCTTCTTCTTCAAAAATGATACGTTTTAAAATATATAAAAAATCATTAATATATTTTATTAGAGAAAATGCGACCAGTGATAAGAAACGGATAGGAATATCAAAGAAATAAAGAGGGGGAGTAACATGTTATTTTTTTGTTTGTATGCGTGTAATGTGAGTGTTCTTTTACTTTATCAAAATTTCTTTGTCATTATTTGATATACCGTAGCCAAGCAAGAAACGCGACAAAACGACAGGCATAAATCTTTTCTGTCTCTCCATGTTCGCTGTTAAGTGTTCCTGCATTTCTTGTATTTTTTGGTGAATAAAAAGGTAAAAATGTCGTTAATCGTCCAGTACGCAGTCGTTGCATTTTGGGAGAAATCTGGTTGTAAGATCGTCGCCGATTATTTGGTCGATCCTGAAGCAAATTGTCGAGAAATTGCTTTAACTACGATACAGGATATTAAGAGTCTTGAAAACGATAGGACCAGCCTCGATCGGGGCAAGTAAGCTCGCTATCCTCGATTTGATATCGGTGCGTTTTTGTGCTCGTTATTATCAAACCAATATTTGGATTTTTCTTTTTGCATTTCACTTCAATTTTCTGTCGATCTCTAATGTAATTATATTGAATTAATTGAGACTAATTACTACAATTAAATTAACATTTTTATTGAATTCAAAATTTGTAAAAAGTGAATAAACATAATTATCCGTATAATTTTGTGAATGTTTATGCTTATATACAATATATTTAATTTTGTATTATTTGTGAAAAAATATCTTTGGATATATCGAACGAAAATGAATCGTTAGATATAAACGAGCCTTTCTTTTTACCTTTATTCTAATTAAAATCACATTGAGAAATACCATTTGTTATTACCTCCAGATATATAGTGCATCTATTGATCGGAGAACTTCATTATGCTTGCTTGACAATAAAACCAGAATCTTCATCGGCGGTATCTCAATTAGTATCCTGTTCTCAACTCTTTCTCGATAAACTAAGAAACATTTACAGAGAAGTACCAATATTAGCTGATCTATCTAGAGATCTAACTAATCTCGCTGTCATCGATCTTTCTAAACCGCTTCAACAAATTATCGTAAGTATTACTTTGTCATTTATTTGTAATTACGATGGCTTTATTAAAAGTATCAAATGATTAACACATTAGAAAAATTTTTTTTTAAATAATTGTTTTAACGTTTGAAACAATTATTTATGAATTATTTCTTTAATTGTAAAAATATTTAATAATAATTTGCATAAAATTTTACTTTACACATTTGTTTAATTCTCATTTTAATTAATTATTTGTAAATTAAATATAAAATGTATTATAAACGAAATATAATTTTATATTTATATTTATTTTAGGAAGAATACAATAAACAGGAAACAAACATCGTACCAAGATTGGAAAATGAATTATCCGAAGTACGACGGATGTTAATGGACGGTGTTCAAAAATTGATAGACAGGGGTCAAAAGTTGGACGATTTACTTCGGAAGACGCAATCTTTAGAAATTAAGGTAAACGAAATTTGTAGTCTTTTTCTCAAATAGAACACATATAATAATAATAATATTATAACTTTATTGCTATATAGTATTGTTTCTAGAAAATATGGTCCTTTCTTCAGTAGTAATATTAAACTTATTTTTAATCAAAAAAACAGTTCACGAATTATAATTCTACACGTTATCGGTATTAGAGATATGTACGATTCCATAGGTCACGACTTACTGACCGTCAAAGATTTATAATAATTCCTGATATCCTTTCACGTATTTACTATTCAATATACTTGCAATAACATCTTACAATATCTCTTATTCATTCGCGATAAAGAAAGATTGTGAGAAAAAAAAAATAAATGAAAAGTACATTTTCTTAAATATTCAATTAAATTAACACATACAAAGATAAACTTTAAACATTTAATATTTTTAGAGAATAAATTATTTTAAAAATTATCTAGAAACCTTTCACCCTATTAAAAATTAATTATGTTTATTTTGACAATATATTAATTTTCTTGTTAAGATGTTTCTGCACAATTTTCATTCTTTAATTCATTTTATATTCATTTAATTTATTTATGAATAATATACGATTTGTTGCAGTCAAGAAAAGATTTTCACGTTGCAACAAAGATATCACGAAAGAAGAACGTTTTCTTTGCGATTACTGCAGCCACATTTATGTTCGTATCAACAACACTTTTTGTTTTCTTTTTGTACATCGGTATTTTGTAAAAATAAAAAAAAAATAAAAAAGTATAAGAAAATAGACGATGATATTAGTAAATTATTTATTTAATTACTTTTCACGTTCTACCCGAATCCGTTTATTATTCGTAGGATATTAATTTTATTTTATTTTGATTCATTTAAAATTAATTTAATAAAAAACTCACGTCACACATGAATTTTAATATATTGATAAATGTAATTATTTTATTATCGTAGCTATACAATATGTCGTAAAAATGATAATAAAGCTTGCTTGATAACAATAAATTCAAAATTATGAAAATATTTAAAAGTCATTTTTAGGTCTTTTGTTAATCCATTCTTTTATTTTTGGAATTGCAAGTACCTTCTCTTTGAGAGATTTTAGATTAGAATAATCCTTGGTAGCATCAAACTCGCAAGCATTGTTAATTGAATCCAAAATAGCCACGAAGAATAAATCGGCGTAACTCAGCTAAGAAAACAAAAATAATTGAAAAAAATATTTTATATTCTACATTATGGAAGAGATATAGTGTTTTTATAAAAATAAATTGGACGAGGATGAGAATAAAAATAACGAATTAAACATATTATATAAATCTATAAAATAATATTTTTTGTATGAAAGTTTCTTAGATGGGTCAAAAATGCTTAAAACATTTTTACAAATCTTTTTATCAAGATTAGCTTTTTATCAAATTCTTTTAAATTAATTTTATTTTCAAAATTATAAAACTACAAAACACAAAATAAATTAACCCTCTATGGGCCCGTGTAACCTTCAAGTAACATATTCATTTTTCAGTGTTTTACTAAACAATTTTAGTTTTTTTAATGAAATGTCATTATATATATCTTAATTTTTTAAATCTTTCTGAGACAACTAATACCATATTCATGACGGTTGATAGCATAATTAAAATAAAATAACAAAATAAATGTTATACTAACTGTCTGTAGTAGAAGCAAGCGAAATCTTTTTTTTCAATTGATATTATTTTTGYTTCTGTCTGTGTTTACCGAATAAAAAATTATGTATCTAGTAGTTCTGAGTTTGAAAATCCATAAAAACTAATTTTTTTGCATTTCAATATCAATTTTTTAATTTATTTTTTTGATAAAGTTCTTTTACTTTGAAGTAACATTGGCCTATAAAGAAATCTTCTGTATATTTAGGATCACGCTTTTGTGTTCCATCGAATGTTGAAAATAGTTGAAGAATTCGTTGCAGCAAACAATTCTTGACAATTTTTATCAGTTTTATTTGAGGAAAAGATTCGAAGATTCTAAAAGGATAAATATTTACGAAAAAAATAGATAAGTTAGACCGGTGGTCAATGCTTAGCTGTCATATAAGCAAAACTGTTCATTGCATTCTGTAAGACCCAGGAATCAATTTAACTTATTACCATTTAAAATTAAAATTGCATCCTGTCTATGTCAGGAGTACAAAGAAATTCGTAAAAAAAGAAGACGTCTTTTTTCCACCAATGTAGATAAACAATTATAAAGAATATAAAAAGAAGACCAAGTATAATACTTCCATCAAAAAAYGTGCGAAAAGATGAAGTATATTTATATAAATTTATGTGTAACGTCAAGTGAAAACTGTTTCGTAGAGTTTCACGCTTAAGTTTTCATGCACAGAAGTGCGAATATTATAGGCCGTTGTTACCTGAAAGTCACATATTGAATATACTGCAATAAAATTATTTAAACAAAAAATTTTTTGTTTATTTGCATATATATGTTTATAATTGCTGGTTTTTCGTTCCCCCAATTTTTTTGGATTGAAAAAGAAAATTCGGCCTATAGAGGGTTAAAATATATATTATATATTTAAAAAAAAATTGGACTGATTGTTAAAAATACCTAAGAACTTTTGGCCCATATTGTATATATTATCAAAAAAGAAATTTGTTATTAATAAAATAATAATAAAAATGTGGTTTTGATTTTTACCTGACCGCCATGTAAATAACCGCCATTAGAACGAGCCAATTCTTCTAATTTTTTAAAATAAAATGGTACGGTTGTAGAAAGAACTTCTTCCTTTTTTTTGGCTTTTTCAACGGGATCATTACTTCTATAGAAAAGGGCTACCTCTATCAATAAAGAAAGAGACGACAATTATATTAAATTAAATTAAATTAAATTATTATTTAAATTATTTAAATTAAATTWAAAAAAACAAAATACTATAATATTTAACACAACAAAATTTTAAAGTATTCAAATCTTACGTTTTCTGAGATCATGAAGCGCATTAGCAATAGCGTTGATCTGTAGATCGTCCAAGTCTGTTTTACCATTTAAATTATATTTTTTCGCTAAGTATTGACAAATTGGTAACGTTTGCGAATAAACTTTACCGTCAAATTCTAGAATTGGCATCTGACCGAATGGAGTATCTACAAAAAGACAATAGAAAAATAAAGAAATTATTTTAAGCTAAATAGTAATAAAAAAAACATAATATTTAAAAAAAAATCTCTAAGCACATACCTGGTTTATATTTCAACCATTCGTCGCGACCAATACGAACATCTTCAAATTCGGCACCACCGTAGCTTAGCAAGAATCTTATTGGCTCGCCCAAACCCATTACATCGAAGTAAGATAATTTGTATTGCACCATTATATTATCTGAAAGAAAAGGAAAGATTGTCTTTTAAATAAAAGAATTTGATCAATAAAATATTTATCTTTATCTTTACCTTTATAAGTATTCCAAGATATTAATATTATTATTGAATAGTAATTTTAATTAAATAATACTTTACTATTAATTAGTACTAGCAGTATTGAACAAGAACGATACTATCCAATTGAAGATCCAAATGATACTAACGACCAGTGTTGAACGACCTTACGTAAGAATTTCATGTTTTCCCCCTCTACACTAAATAAACTTCATTCCATCTTTTTCTAACAGCATACAGCAAAACCGGTCGTCATAACTTTGCACGAACCTTTACCATGTACTTTCACTTTTCGATGTATCATAACAAAGATGAGACAACATTGAATTGGATCTCATTTTTAATTAAATTTTTTTTTTTATCTTTGAAAAGTTTATAATTCATAAATTATCGTGATTATTCGATTTTTGATTTTTTTAACTTTGTATTGAACTTCTTCTATTGATTCGGATTGATCGTGTTGTTATCGTGTTTTATATATATATACATATATCTATATACATTTGATATTATTAAAACATAATTTATATATAAAGTATAGAATATGTTTTGTTTATACATACACAAATAATTTAAACACTAAATTTTTTGTAAGTAAATAAATATATTCTCATGGTACAAAATATCCTTAGATACGTTACTGACTCACTTCACGATATACTTGGAAACCATAATCGATAACAGTGAATCAAATTAACTTTTTCTAAATAACCTCTTTCATTTGAATTAATTATCGTTTGATATTGAACTAAACAAAAGCGTTATTGTCAATTATCGATCATATTTAATCGATCAAACATCACCCCTCCCCCCAATTCTTTAAGATAATAGTATAAAGAAAGTTTTGTCTTGAAAATCGTAATGATAAATAAACGATACCTTTTTTTATTTTTAATAACCTTCAAGATCATATTAAGTCGAGAAAAAATATTTAATAAAAATCGGCATGAATTTAAAAGCATGGACAATGGTCGCTTGTCCAAGGACATTTCACCAAAAAAATATATCATAGCTGCATCACCAGATTTCATTGAAGACAGATTTTACGGTGCTATACAAATTGATTTAAGAATAATGAGGGTAACTTTACCATCTTTTACATTTCGATTAATTGAATCGAATTGTCACTTTCAATATGTCTGACTCAACTTTTCTTTCCCGCCTTTCTTAAATTAACATTTTATAATTTTATATTTTAAAAATTTAACTATTGTATCGACTAAATTATATAAAAGTGGTCGAGAATTATTACTTTCAATACATTTGACCTCCTTCCATTCTTGTATTTTAGATTAAAAATTATATAGCATTACATTCAAAGAATTTAACTATTACATCAACTAAATTGTATAAAATTGATCAGCCTTATAACGAAATTCCAATCGATGCTATTTATCCTATCGAAGAGTATGAAATGATAGTGATCGAAACTACAAATCCATTATCACCTGATAATTATCTTTTGAGAATGAATTACAGCGGTACATTGAACAATAAAATTAATGGATTTTATTTAAGCAGTTACATGGTGAATTCTGAAAATGATCGTATCAGGTGATTTCAATGATTTTTATTTTTTTTTTTGTATAGTTAATATTTTATAATATTCTTGTTTCTTTGTTTTTTGTTACCGGTTTATTTATCTCACAGAAAATTAGCAGTCACACAATTCGAGCCAAATTATGCAAGAAGAGCTTTTCCTTGTTTCGATGAGCCATCTTTTAAATCTATTTTTCATATACGTATTGTTCACGATGGAAAATCGAATTATCATGCTTTATCTAACATGCCAAGTATAGTAAGTAAAAAATGATGTTAGTTGGACGTTCTTTTCTTATTTTATAAAGTTTATAATATATTAAAAATCTCTATATACAATATAATTATGTATTAGATATAAAAGAAATAATTCTTTTTTCGAAATTTAATTGTAGAAAGTCGATAAAGCAGATGATAAAAATGATTTGATGATAACAATTTTTGCCCCTACTTTACCAATGTCGACATACTTGGTAGCTTTTTTGATAAGTGATTTCGAATGTTTAACTTCAAGCGCAGATTCTTTAAATGGAACTAGAATACCGCTTAGTGTTTGCGTTAGATCGGATTACAAAAATAAAGTTCAATTTGCTTTGAATATTGCTGCACAAGCTATTGAATATTATTCGAATATTTTGAACATCGATTATGCTCTACCAAAATTAGGTATAGCATTATTTAATTAAATAATGTAATTCCTATTAATATACATTTTCTTTTAATATTTTATAATAGAGAACTAATTTTTTATGAAAAAATGTTTCCATGGATAAGAAGTGTTAGCGAACCCATTATCGGCTAAGTATAAAGTGTTACATATTTTCAGGCATTAATTAAATATGAAAATTTAAGAATACATAATACTGATAAAAAAGAATTTTTCGATATCGTGAATAGTTTTAAAAATATTCGTTTGTTGAATTATTCTCGACACTGTAGTTGTGGAAATAATTTCTATTGATTATGTGTTTGGAAGCTTAATATTTAGAATATTCATTTTCTCTATTATTATTCTCCTATAATATTATTAATACATAATATTATATCGTAATTCAATATTATTACTGTTTGATTTTATAACACAAACAGTATCTTTTTTATTACATTATAATAGTAATAATAAAGAATCATAAAAAATGTATTCTATATACATATAACTTAAATTACTTTAATAATAATCAACTCACGTATTATACATATGTATTACATAATAAAATGCATACGTATTAAAAGGTAATTGATTCAAATTTTGCAGATCTCGTTGGAATACCGGATTTTGCAGCTGGTGCAATGGAAAATTGGGGTTTGGTAACGTTTCGTGAAACCGAGTTATTATACAGCGAGGAACATAGTTCTTGTGAAAATATAAAAAGTGTTGCTCTCACAGTTTCCCATGAATTAGCACATATGTGGTTTGGAAATCTAGTTACTATGAAATGGTGGAACGATCTTTGGCTCAACGAAGGCTTCGCAACATACATGGAACATGTTGCAGTCGATTTTATTTTTCCTGAGTGGTATCAGGTCTTGTATTATGAATTAAAAACATAACTAGATGAAAAAAATTATAAATAATTGAAATATTAATTATTAATTATAGTGTAATTATGATGAATTTTTTAGATGCAAACATTTCCAATTAATACCAAATATACGTCAATGATCTACGACATTAAAAAAAACGCACATCCAATAATAAGTCATTTGGAAGCTTCCGACGAGATAGGCCAAATGTTTGATCGTATTTCTTATCAAAAAGTACGTTAACATTTTATTATCCTATTATATAATCAATAACATTATTTATTTTCCAATGTCATAATATTTGCCAAATATCTATTTCTAAACAAAAATAGTATATTACATGCCTAGGGCGGTAAAGTAAGAAATGTCTCAGAGCACATGTAATTGTTGGCCGAGGCGAAGCCGAGCTCTGAGACATTTCTTACTTTACCGCCCTAGGTATGTAATATACTATTATAATATTTGTGTTTTTGTTTTTTCAATCAGAGTGCTGCAGTAATCAACATGTTAGAAAATGCAATAGGAAACGTTAAATTCATTTCTGGAATTAGGAATTATTTAAAAAAGTATCAATTTTCTAATGCTGAATCAAAAGAACTTTTTGAACTTTTTAACGAAGAAAATCACAATTTCGTTAATCTAATCGATGTTTTAAACCGATGGACAAGATTAACTGGATTTCCTGTGGTTAATGTACAACAGAAAGATAAACTAATTAAATTATCTCAACAACGATTCGTCCTTGATAAAACACAAAATGATTCATTTAAGTAAGTAAAAAAAAAAGTAATTTTCATTTTTATAGAAATATATATTTTCATTATATTAATAATTTTCATATATATATATATATATATATATAAATTATTTTTTTATATAATTTTATATAATTTTCTATTTAATAGTTTATTTGTAATAACAGGGAAAGCTGGGATATTCCTTTAAAATATATAACGAGTCGACAAGAAGATGGTATCAAGTTCGCTTGGTTTCCAGCAAATTATACTTGCGGCAAGCCCTTTTTTTCTTTTTCTTCTTGATTTAACAATATGCAATTTCTCGATCCCATTTTAATTGATCCAAACAATTTCACAAATCAATAAATATTTATTCGATTTTAATGATAAATTATTGAATAGATGAAAACATAAAATTTTATCGTCTTCAACAAAGTTGACCTTAAGATTTATCACTAAATAAAAAAAATAATAAATCACATAACATTTGGATCGATTAAAATGATTCATCCTAAAAATGTATTGATAAAAACTAAAAATCCTTTAATATATGTGCAGTTGAATTGGTCCTAGAAAAACCAGTAAATTGGATTAAATTGAATCATAATTCGGTTGGTTATTACATTGTTAATTACACACAGGATAATTGGAGAATATTTACTAATTTGTTATTGACTGATATTCAAGTAAAGTTCACACACTCTAATTCTATTGACTTAAATATATACAATAATTAATAACAAGAATATGCTTTGATAGTTTTCATAATTTGATAAATAGGTTCTGGATCCAATAAATCGTGCCGATTTGTTGCACGATGCATTTATTTTAGGTGATAATATAGATCTGTCTTACCATATTGTTTTAAACATGACCACTTATCTAAAAAACGAAAATACTGTTCAACCTTGGATAGTTGCTGGTCAATGGATCAATCGAATTAACAAATTACTTCGTTCAACTAATTTACATCGTCCATTTCAAGTAAAATTCTATTTATTAAATTTTATTATATTAAATGGTCTCAAAAAAGTTACTTTTTTTTTTAGTAATACTACGGGCATAATATTTGTTAGGTTGAGAATAATTTAAAGTATAGACAAAGGGAAAATAGAGTAGAATCGATATTATTTAGTAAAATAACGTAAAATATAAAAAAAAAAAATGTATATTACGCATGCAGTATTGTTTAACTTATCACCAAAAAAAGGAAGAAATTTTCGGGATAACCTAATACTCGTATATTACATACATATTGTATATGGGTCGAAAAGTTTTAAGCCTGACGTATAAACAATTTTTCTTTTTTATTAAACTCACTTTTTTATTTTTCAACATAATCTCAAAACTTTTAGAAAAGACTTTTCAACCCATTCTGTTAAACGTATAATAAAAATTAAAGGATATTGATCTTTTTATTAAATTTTTTTATTTTTATTCTCAGCGTTATAACAAATATTTATGTAAAATTATGTGATTTGATTTTTCTTTGGTATTTCATATAAAAAATATAATTTCTTTTTTAATACTATTATTATTGAAATCTAATTAATAAAATAAGGCATTTATTATAGTATTACATACAACGTTTGATTGAAAAAATGTATCAACAAGTGGGATGGAACGTGAGCGAGAAAGAGGAATTACCACACAGGTAGAAAATCGATACAAAATTTAATAATATTATTATTTCTCTTATATTTGATCGTACGAGAAATCTTCCTAATCTCACAATCGACTTTTTGAGAGAATTACGGGTAGTTATACTGAAGATAGCATGCAGTGTAAAATTCGATCATTGCTTGGACACAGCTACTATGAAACTTAAAAAATTTGTTGAGAGTAATGGCACACAAAAATTGCATCCTGATATTCGTTCTATCGTTTATTCTTTTGGTTAGTTATCTTAAGTAATATACACAACAATTTTACTTTATACATATATTAGATTAGTCCATAATTCTTACACTTGTTGCCTGTTATTTATTTAAAAAAATAACCCACGAACTTATTGGCTAAATATTTTTTTAATTAAAATATTTCATATATTTATTTATTTATCAAGGTCTCCTTGTGCCAAGTGATGCAGCTGAATCAATATTTGAAAAAATGTGGGAATTCTTTTTAAGAGAAACAGACGTACAAGAGAAAAAAAGACTCCTAATAAGATTAGCAGCTGTTAAAAACAAAGATATTCTCGCTAAGTATGTGCTATGTATTTTTAAATAAAATTAAACAATAATTATATCTAAAATTACCTTAATATGTTTTGTAGATATTTACAAAAGATACAAGATGAAAAAGTAGTTCGTAGACAAGATTTTTTTGAAATTATCAGTAATATCGCTCTAAATCCAATGGGTCTTGATATAGTATGGGATTTTTTTAGGTAAAATATAACATTTATTATAAAAAGAAATATTTAACATCAAGATTATATATAAATTTAAAAAACAATACAATTATCATCAAGATTATATACAAATTGTACATATAAAGAAAAAACAAATATAATTGGCCACATGATTTTAATATAAATTAACCCTTTGCACTCGAGGGCTCCGCTACGGAGACAATAAAAAAGAAATAAAAACTGAAAAAAATTCAATTCAGTCTACAACATATCAACTATCATTTTTCTTTTAATTACACATATGTCATTTATTTATAATACGTGAATATTATTTTTGTTTCTATTGAAATTGCTTTGTATGTAATTGGTTATATGTGAAATGGAAAATATAACTTCGAGTGCAAAGGGTTAAATATGAGTAAAAACAAAATATGAAATATACAATTTTTTTACAGAAACCATTGGGAAAATTTAATTGAAAAATTCGCATTAAACGATCATGTTGTGGATGCAGTTATTGGAGCAACTATCTCTTTATTTAAAGATGAAAAGAAATTGAAAGAAGTATTATCTCTTACGATTCGAAAAAAAATTGGATATTTTTTACTCAATACATTAATTTCAGGTTGAAGATTTTTTCAATAAATATCCAAATACTGGGCCAAGTACGCATACAAAAAAAAATGTAATCGAAGATATTAAAAGTAACATCAAATGGTTAAATGCAAACTTATGGCAATTCGAACAATGGTTAAACGAAGATGGAGTCTATCTCCCATAGAGCTTATTTATATATATATATAGGTAGAACAAAGTTTTGAGCCCATTCTTTTCTAAATTTTGAAATTATGTCAAAAAATAAAAATAAGTTCAATAGAAAAAACTATTTTAATGTTAGACTCAAAACTTTTCAACCGACCTTCGTACATTTTTCATTATTCGTTGGCTCAATTTTTCTTTTAACATATACTTTATATTTTCTGAATGTATATGGGTGTATTGAAAAGTTCTGATGCTCACGTAGATATGACTTTTTTTTTATCAAATTGTTATAATAATAAAAACAAAATAATGTCTTTTTTATTAAGACTCAAACGTTTCAACCCACTTCCCTTTATATACAATCCTTATATTAAAAAATATATTTTTCTTCCCTCCGGGCGAAAAGCGTGAACTTTTCTCCCGCTGTTCAAAATGAAGTTGCCGCTTTCCGCCTACGTCGAGCAGAAAAAATGTATACTATTATGTACAATATTTATCCACATTTTAAAATTATCATCTCCTTACTTTACCTCCCTAGGTGAGTAATATACTATTATGTACAATATTTACCCACATTTTAAAATTATCATCTCAGATAATTTTAAGTTAAAGCGAAAGGTATTCAGATATTCATAAAATGAATGTAAAATATATATTACATGTCAGCTGTACTCCACCTATATGCTTCCTCTTGTAATGCTGTTTTTGCATTCTGTGCATCAAACCACTTCTTTTCGTATCCATTACTTCTATCAACTCCATCCCAACGACGACCAGGTCTTATTCCAAAACGATTAGGCATATAAGATCCCTGATATCGTAGTTCATCTGGTTTGATTTTTCCTTCTTTTATTTTTTTGTTCCTAATATATTCTAACATTGGATCACCTTCTTTTTCTTGTTCCCTAAGCGCTTTGTCCAAATCAGCATCATCGACATATCTTGCCAATGGTTTGCTTACTTCATGAAGATAGTTTTTTAATTTTTCTTCTCTATCTTCTATTTGTTTCAATCTGAAGAGAGATAGAAATTAGTCAGAAATATTATATAATTATATTATATATATATATATATATATATAATATTTAAAAAAAAAAAAGATTCTTACCCTCTACCCCATTTGTCATATTTTTCATTCAATTCTTCTTGCCGCTTATGTTTTTCTCGCTCTACAGCAGCTTCAGCTTCTAAATCTCGTCTCCTACCAGTTTTTGAATCACGTAAGATTGTCTTCTGGCCAGCACCAGTAACTTCGTTGCTTAACTATAAAAATTACATTTGTCAGATAAATAAAATTTGCTTATTGTCATATAATAAATAAATAAAGTTTTTGTATTGTAACAAAATAAATAAACAAATTGAAAAAAATAAGTACCTTATTAAACATTTCAATTTCACGCTTTTTATAAGCCTCTGTTTCTTCACGCAAAGACTTTGCATCCTGCAAACCAGCGCTCATGCCACTTAATGTTTTCTTCATTTTTGTATCATGCATTGTATTGTCACGACTTAATGATTCACTTCCATCAGGTTGATCATCCCATCTTGAAGAGTTTCTGCGACGTTTATGACTGTTATAGTCTTTTTTACTTTTTTTAGAATGTCTCGATGTAGATCGATCACTCTTTTTACTTTTTCTAGGTGGACTCAAATCTGAATCATCGTCCTTTCTACTTTTTCTACATGGACTTAAATTCAAATTATTGTTCCTCCTATTTCTTCTAGGTGGACTCAGATCTGAATCATTGTTCCTCCTATTTCTTCTAGATGGACTCAGATCCGAATCATTGTTTTTCTTATTTCTTCTAGGTGGACTTAAATCCGAATCAGAAGTCTTCCTACTTTTTCTAGGTGGACTTAAATCCGAATCAGAAGTCTTCCTACTTTTTCTAGGAGGACTTAAATCCGAATCAGAAGTCTTCCTACTTTTTCTAGGAGGACTTAAATCCGAATCAGAAGTCTTCCTACTTTTTCTAGGAGGACTTAAATCCGAATCAGAGATTTTAGATTCTTTTTCCTTTTCACGCAATATAACAGAATCATTTTGTTTAAATCGTAATTCTCCATCTTCATCATCGGCTATAATTTTCCACTTTCTTTTATCAGAAAAATCAATTGGTCCACGTTCATCAATTATTCCAGCTATTTGAGGCGCATCTTCTCCATTGATAAATATATCAAATTCACCATCTTCAATTGGCCTAAGTTTATTTAGGTCAATATCATCATCAATGATCTTAACTCTGTAAAATATAAATTATTTAATTATAGAATTAAATATAAAGTATAAAACCTTTGAATGATATTACAGATCAGAAAATTCATTGTTTCAATAAATAAGTTTTGGTGCATCTAATTCGTTTGGATCTTATGTATGATTATCCAATATATTACTTCTGTAAAATCAGTGAACTTTATTTAACCCTTTCGCTACAGCAGTCCCGTCCGCCGAGGTACCGACCCTGAATGGAGATTCGCCAGACGTCGTGGCGTTGATGCTGCATATATGCAGCGGTCAGTGCGAAAGGGTTAAAAACTAATAAATAATTCGGTATACGTTTATAAATTGATGAAGACTTTTCAACGAGTAATAAAATAATGTATCTTATACTTAAAATGAAAAAAAAAAGAAGTTGCTATTATTGTTATAAGCATTGCGAAGGTTAGGAAAAATGTACTTACGTTTTTGGACCAATTTTTAGCTTCTTCTTCTTCTTCTTTTTTTCTTCTCCAGGTCCAGAAGATAAATATTTCTTCAAATATTCCTTCTGACTTATAGATTTATCCATAATATATTTATATAAAATGAATTATTATAAAATTATAATAGCTAACCACAAACGTATCTAATACTTGTAACAATTCATGAACTAATATAAAATAACAACTTAGCTTCCGTAGAAAGTTTTACATAGATGGACGATAGCTGCAGCGATATTAGCGCCGATACGACAACCCATTGAACTATTATAAATAATGCAATGGTACATTCACAGAGCCTAGAACATAGGAAAATAACTAGTAAACGCGACTGGAAAAAAAGGAAAGATCATTTTCGGAAATACGCCGCTAGGTTTCGTTATATTCGCTAATGTCAAGTTTATAACGTCATATTTTTCATTGACAATTGTTGACAACACTGCATCATTAACAATTGTATTAATGTTTTTTTAATTTATAAAAAGTAATATTTATTTAAAAATGGTAAATACATGTATTGTTCATGGGTGTACAAGTGAACGAGTCAAGGATCGTAATAAGAATGCTAAATTAAATCAGAGAAATACGTCTTTATTCACTGTATCACAGGTAATATAACCTTAATTGATAGTTATTAATTACTAATATAAAAAAATGCAACGATGCAAATGTTTTTTAACTCCACTTATGCTATAGAAATTTCTAGTCTTGTAAAAAGTGCAATTTACGATAATAAATTACAATGTACTTTTAATTGGACTTTTTAAATTTAGTTTTCCATCCTTTACTCAACTGCGACTAGGTAAGATGAAATTGAATAGATTTACACAACAAGTTGACGATAATATCTTGGGAATAATTGTAAAATAATAAAAAATGTTTTCTTAGTGCTATTTTTAACGTTAATTATAAGACTTGGTTAATTTATTTCGACTAACGCATGAGTACAATTGTTACACTCCCGCGACAATAAACAAGGTTTTAAAAACCTGATATTAGCCACACTAACACGCTCTAGTGGCAAAATATCTGTCCTCTCATTTTCGAACATTTGTAATACATTACGATCGCCCTCCTGTTATCTAGGCTAGAGATCCTATAGGAGGGGTGCGCCATGTACATTGCTAGGAAACCGGAACTCGATTTTGCGTGCGAATGATTCAAACATTGAAATAATTATGAAATAATGAATTGCATCAAATACAGAAAAAAATGAACTATATTTAATGATAATTAAAAATTTATATTAAAATAGAATAGGTTACACACACAAATTATTATAAATTCAATAAAAAAGACTTAATTAAGTTTGATTTGATAAAAGGCATTACAGTATTTTGAAATTTCAAAACAATTTGTAGGAATTTATACAATTTTGATAAATATAA